GAGTTGGCAACATCGGGAGGGGGTGGAATGGACCGCATCCAGCGCACTGCCTGAGCAGTTTTCTCAGCAAGAACCGAGTCCGGAACCTCAACCATCTGGATGTTCTCCATCACAACAGAGATGCGTCGTGTTCGTGGAAGTGAAGAACTCGCGGGACATGGGGCGCCAAAGGATCATTGGCCGCCAAATCAGCCACATATGCCAGCATTTCGGCCTCGGGTGTGAATTCAAAGCGCGGCCCAAACTTGACGTAGAATCCGCGAAATGGAAAGGCTCGGCTGTAATCCTCTTTGCGCTGGTTCTCTCGTTCGTGAGTGATGCATGCGTCAACGAAGATAGACTGGAGGCCGATGAGATCCACTCCTATATTGGATGCCATGAGCTTGGTGAGTATTAGATACCAAACCCATAGTTATTGAGCGAGAACCCACAGTAAAGTCAGCCTCGGTGGTTGTCGTTGACGGGAAAGGGGCGATGTGTCACGTTCATGTGCTTGCTGTCACACGATGACTCATCCGATCTTGTCATTTGCGACCACGGATACCAAGAGGTCTTGAAGATGGAGGGAGCACATATGGAGTACTTACAACAACTCTCCTTGAGGCCTCATGCTCACTGACTCACAACAGTGCCTTCCCCGACACCATTCCTGAAATCGACAAACGGCTGCATGCGCTTCATGCTGAAATTTCTGCACTCAAGACGAAACGGAATACACTTGTACCAATATTCAGACTTCCCGACGAGCTAATCCGCCACATAGTAGAGCTCTACGCCCACTCGTCCGACTCTTTATTCAATCTTGCATGGACGAAGCTCATGTGGGTCTGTCGTCGTTGGGCAGAGATTGTCTTCTCCTTGCAAGAACTGTGGGGCTATATCGACCTGGGAACAAACGTTCACAAGATATACTCCAAGATTGACGCGCAAGTCAAGTATTCTGGTGTTGCGCCCTTGACTTTCAAAGCCTACTTGTTGGACACAGACTACTTTGTGAGATGGGCCGTGTCTGAAAATGCGACAAGAGTGCGTTCATTGACGCTGGAGGGTCGGACAAAGCATGTTTCTACGCTAATCGCCGCACTTCCTGACCTTCATTTGACTGCTCTGGCCTCCCTTTCAGTCTCGCATTATGCAGGCGAGGACGCACCCGGGAGCACAGTGGTCATTCCTGCTGAACTGTTCGATGGCCGTCTTCCCCGCCTACGGGAGCTATGTTTCAAGGAAAGCTCCAGCATTTCTGCCCCATGGAGTCTATTCCGAAACCTAGAACGTCTCACCTTGACCGGCTGCACGAACTCTTCTTCCGATTCTCCTGCCACTGTCGATGATGTCCTTCAAGTATTGGCGGCATCCCCAAACTTGAAAATGCTGGCATTGCAGCCGAAAGCATCGCTTTTGCCAGTCGTGAACAGAGAACCTATAACTCTGCCGATGCTGCAGTACCTCTACATTCGCGACTATATTTCCCCGACAACGGTGCTTCTGAATGCTCTCCGTTTCCCGCCGACCAGCATTATCCAGATATACCCTCACGGCATCTACACTGGCAATGACATTCGCAACGTACTGGTTCCCATGCGCACACATCTTCGCGCTAGAGCGGCTCCCCGTCTTCCTTTCTTTACTCTCCGCGCCTTTATTGGACCAAACGACCGCTCGGATTTTGTATGCACCATGGAGCTTGGCGACTCAGAGTCGAGCTCTGGGCGCTATTACCACACACAGCTTGATGAGATTGATGGAACGTCGACTTCGCTAGTCCTCAATTCTCATCCCAATAGCGAGCCTGCCTTGCGGCAGATTGTCACCAAGTTCTTAAACACTGCTCGAGCGGATGTTGTAACACACCTCGATGCCAGTGAAGTAAGAGATATGGGGGAGGCGTCATGGCGCACCATATTGCGCTTGCTCCCGGCGCTAAATTCACTCCGGGTCACACTTTCCGCGGCACCGACATTCAACGCACGCAGTTTCTTGGGTCTCTGCCAGGCCCTCTGCAAACTGGAAGCAAATAGCCATATTCGAGTGTTCAATCTCCAGTTGTATTCATTCAGTCTGCGCGGCGAATCGAATGATTTTAACGGCGCCTGGCTTGTCGAGCCAATGACAATGCTCAAAGCATACGTGCGTCATCGACGAGCACAATACGACGCTTCTCCGGATACCGTCACCCCCCCTCGAATCGCTCGACATCCGCGACGATCACAGTCTGTTGCATTCGCGGACCCATCGACCGCGAATGAAGAGCATCTTCCGGCTGCTCCGTGGAATGGGTGTTATCAAGCGTGATGGCAAAGTCTGGGACGTTGACCAAATTCGCGAATGGAGGCTTAGGATAAGAAAACAGCTTCTTGACGATGGATTCGAACCGAATGTGCCAGATCCTGAATCGAGCTCCGAGTCTGAGGAAGCTGAAGATTAGGACGGAAATTGAACCTTTAAAACCAACCAGTGTTTCATAAAATCATATGTTTCTCGAACAATGTAGTAAAGTAACTGATATTTATATGTGGAGCGGACGGCGAACTCAGTAGTAAGTCATGGAACGTAGTCTTGCCCAAACAGAAATGGTCATCAACTCGTGCCACAGGTGGTGGTCCGTGTGGCGTCCGCAGTAAAAGTGAAGTATATAAGCAGACTCCAGCGATATCCTAAAGTATCAATTCAAATGCCGAGCGACAGCGAACTTGAAGGCGACCGTGATTCCGACTTGAAAGGAAAGCTGCAGGCAGGCCCGGGGATGTACAAGGCAGAGATAACTTCAAGTCCAAAGGTACGCACACACATTGTCTCCACTACTTAGACCGTACGAGCAGTTAGCAATCAATCATTGACAACTTGAAGGGAGAGACTCCGGGAGAGCTAGACGCCTCCCAGCCAGCAGTTGCAGTTGCAGCTCCCAGTCCCGACCTATATTCAGAGCCAGATGAATCCAAGGAGGAGCAGTCGTTGGGCGTGTCTGGCCCACACGTTGCCCCAAGTAGCCCAAAGCCTCGTCCTATTGACAGTCATGCGAATGCATTGGGCTTGTCGATGCTTGACTCGGAGGCGCTCGATGAAATTACTATCACAGTGGTGTCTTCCGAGTCTATGCCGGTTTTAAGTGAGAAAGAGGGGATTGAAGGAACTATGAGTGAGGAAGCGTTGCCAGTGGGGGCGAAGGTCTAGGGAGTTTGCAGCTTGTAGCACAAGTATACTAGTACTTAGGAATGTGTAGAGGCACGAGGGACTTTTATTGGTACTTGAGCTCAAGGCCTCTCGTTGAGGGGAGATGTTGGTTGATGATCACGTTGACTTGTTTGGCGTTGTTTGAATCACACGTCTTCACCTGGTGTTTCCTCTTGCCGACAGTGACCGCTACCGTTGGTCCGACTTTGCTATAGTGCGCACGAGGGAAGCCAGAAGAAGAAGGATAATGTCCTTAAAAAGTGGGCCTGAATCGGCCCAAGTGAGTGTGTCCTGACTCCTCCTTGGGCCTTGGCGATCTGAGTAAGTACTCGTATACTTATCGTACTCACTACTTATTGCCTCCACTCAGCGCATCTCGGAGAACGGTGGAGGATGGATGTCGCAGCGAGATCGAGAGCTATACGACTCACTCGTATAGCTCTCGATCTCGTTCACCTCCATACGAGACCAAAAGTCCGGTCTCGGGTACAAACACCCATCCGCGCGCCACAGTATAAGAGGGGCCCGACCTCAATAGAGTTCTCCAGACACTTTGCTCTTCTCCTGCGCCGGACGCTAACATACTCAAATTTTCAAACTCACCGACTTTCCCAAAACCAAAACCAAACCAACCCATTCAACGATGTTTCAAATCACATTCAACTTCTCTTCCTCGCTTGTTCGTCGCCTTCTCTTGACACCGTGAGTATGGCGCTGACAGTTGCTGGCAGACAGCGTCGAATTCAGCGTCGTCTTTGATGTCGCTCGATGTTCCAGGCGGCTGGAAATCGAGTTATGAAGGGAAAAAGGCTCCCGTGCGTAATCTTGACTGTGCCTCTACTACATTACCGCTGAGCTTATCTCGCAGCCAAAGCCCACTCTTTCCCCCCAGACTGAACCTTCGAAGTCTGCAGAGATCGAATCGACCTCTGCGACAATTCCCGTGCGTTTTCTGGGCAATCCTGATTTTTGAACTTAGCTTTCTCCTAGATGGACTCGACACTGGTGCCAAACTCATCGTCATCCCCTGCATTGGCACCCAGTGTTGTGCCCGACACCGTTCAAGACCCTACTCCGATATCACCAGTGCGATCCGTTTTGTCTTCGTTTTGACTAGATTGACTTGGCCCCAGCAAACAATTCCGCCTTCACAACCGGAAACAACAACAAGTCCTGCATCAACTTGTGCTCGTCGTATCGGAAGATCCCCATTGGCTAACGTGCTTGTATGTCTCCAACGCTGTTACCCGCGTGTACCCACTCGCTTGCTAGGAAATCTCGGCCTTGCTGTCCGTGGATTCGGAACCTTCTCCGCTTCCAACACCTGCCGCTCAGCCCCAGCCGTCTTTCGCTGTCGACTCTTCCGACAATAGCACCCAAGCTTCCCGACCCAGCACCAAAGGCGGTATATATGGCCCTCGTCGTGGCCCCACCGCTCGTCCGACATTGGATTCTCAAATAACAACAACTGAGCCAACATCAACTGTTTCTTCCATCGCCGTTAGTTGCACATTCGATGTTTTTTACCCGGTTTCAATTGTCCTTCAGGCTGGCGAATCGGATGGCGCCGATAGTACCGAAGTAAGGCTGGTTCATCTTGTGGGATCTGACGCCCAACTCTTTTTAGTCGGCATCAAGCCTGTCTCTTATTCCGAGCAGGAAGACCGGGATATATGGCGATCGTCGTGGGCCGGGTTCACAACCAGTCTCAGGACTGCCGGCTTCTCAAGATTCATCAACTTCAGAAACGATTGCTCCTGCTTCCCCTGTCAGTGTGTTTTTCTCGGCTCCGTTTCAATTGCTCACCAATGCTTAGGACAGCACATCCGACGCGGATCCCGCTCCTCGTGGCCGCTCGATGAGTGTTGCGCTGTCGCGTGTATGTTTCTCTTTCTTTTCGCGAATGCCTCCTTCTCAGTTATTCTAGTCGGTCCCTGCTCCTTCTCCAGAAGAGCCGTCTTCGCCCTCGGCCCTTGCACCGACCCCCCGAGAAGGCCGAACCCGCACTCGTGTCGCGAGCGTCCGCGCAAGGCCGCAAGGGCGCGACCTGTCATTTGGCGGTGTTATCCCACGTTCCCGACAGTCCTCCGCGCTCCGGATCACGGTCACGCTCCGTGTGGCGCTGTTTGCCGAGCGGGCTGCGAGAGAGCGACAGGCGGAGCAGGAGCGGATAGAGATGGAGCGGAGGGAGCTTTATGCGGTAAGCTATTGGACTTGATATACGGACCATTGCTTGACACGAAATGCAGGGTGTGCGGCTGGAGCGCATGGCGGCGCAGGTCCAGCAGGTAAAACGTAGATATAAGAACAAGCTTGGAGTGTTGAAGGGGTGGGCGCCGAGCGGAGGACAGGAGACTGAGTGGGTGCTTGTATGAGTGTGGGGAGGGTGGCATGTTTATGAGGTGGTGGGGCTGGAATGCGGATGAATTGGGGGTTGGAATGCGTATGAAGCGGTGGAGGTGTAAGGCAGACTGAAGTGGCGGAGGGTGGTGGAAGGAGGATGAACGAATCGAGGGTAGACATAATATAAGACCAGTGGATAAGCAAAATGGAAAGCGATTGAGATAGTGGTGAACTTGAGTCTTGAACCGTTGAGTACATTCAACCTGCTCTTCCGTATCAGCCTGCCGATGGATGATAAAGCAAGAGGAGTCCACGCAGAAGAGCTAGTGCTATCCTCCTTGATGAGGAAGAAATGAGAGGACCCGTGAAAGTCCCTACTGAGGTAGGATTCTGAAAATGATTGCGGCTGAAATTTCTTCGGATTTTTGGACATAATACTTGACTCTAGCTCAGTTTGTCCGGACTTGGATCAGACATGGCAACCTAAGTAAACCTCAGTGTAAATTGAGCTTCATTGCAAGCAATGATAACAAACGATGACTCCAAGTCAGAGCTAGAAAATCATATAACAATTCCATGTCTCATTCAAACAAAATAACTGTAACTATTTCTGCTGTTTAACTCATTCTGGCTCCTTAGCTGGATTATTAGGCAAGGTTCGGCCTCTGCCGCTTGCGGCCTTATCCCCTCTCATGATGGGATAAACAAAAATGGCATTATGCAGACCAGATGATAAGACCCAAGTAGCAATAAATACTGAATAATTTCTTGTTTCTCGCTCTACTGGCCACCAAGCTGATCAGCGGTCAACGCGTCGTACGTCGGGCATAGTGTGCCCCAAGCATTAGGCTGGACTGAGTTGGCGACCGTGTCAGTGTCCTCCGCGAAGACGATCGCAAGGCCACTGTGCAAGAGTTTAGATGAGTTACAAGAAAAAGGGCAGCTTACACTTCGAGATGGAAATCGATGTGGCAATGGAGGAACCACGGACCACTGGTAGATGCGTTAGTAAACGGTGTAGGAGATTATTTTTGCCACTTACGCGTTGTCTGTCTGGAAGCGGATGGTGACGTTGTCGCTGGTGGAGCCGCCGATGGTAACTACATCTCGCACGACGGGGTTGACGTAGTTATAAGTCGAGTTACCAGCGCTGCGCACGACCCAGAAAGTGTGCTGAAATAGAGGTGAGAGCAGGAAACAGCCGCAGAAATACCACCAACACCGTGCAAGTGGAAAGGATGGGGCGACCCGACGGTGCCTCCCGGCATGGAGAGCTCGACGACAGAGTTGGGCGGGAGATTGCTGTGATAAATCAATGGTGATTTGGACAAGAATGGACGAGAGAGCTTACAAAATGCTACCCGATGGAAGCAGTTCAGCGGCAGTATGGGCACCGCTCATTATTTGCAGTAAAACAGGCGCTGTCGGGGCGACGAACTCGGCGCCGTTGACTGTGAAGGCCGCGCCGGTGAAGCCAATAGCAAGATTGAGGTTTACATCAGCGCCGCCGACGACAGCAGGCCCTGGAACGGGGGTCGATGCGAGGGGGTGGAGGTCGGTTTCGACGAGCGGAGTGCTTGAGCTGACTTCAGGAGTCGTTGGATCGACAGCTGCCGCGCCAGAGTAGCGCAGGATGGCCGAGTTGATGCCATTTTCGAAGCCAGATGTTCCAGCGTTGGCCACAGTGCGAATCCAGTAGTTATTTACTGGTTGGTTGGCGGTAAGAACAAAAGAGTATCGTTGGCCCGCGTAGATTTGAATTGAATCGACAGTTAACGGCTGAAAAGTGTCAGGGAGGGGAACAAGAAAAAGGGTGTGGCGTACCTGAGTGTTGACTCCGTCAGCTTCAATTATGGTCATGGTATGACCATCGATGCTAAAGATAAAGTTTGGATCTGGGTGCGCTGATTAGTCTTGAGCCCATTCGCTTGAAAGAAGACTTACCACAAGAGAGGGAGACCAGACGGAAGCGATAACGTGTGTTTTGAGTAACAGAAATGACAGCAAGTTGCGACGTTGGCCCGCCAGCAAACCGACCGAGGCCGTTAATGAGCGTAGAATCAAGAGTGGGGGGAAGGGCGAGTGTGTGAGCGGGAGCGTGGTACCAATCGGCGAGAGTAATAACAGTACTGTCATCGTCGACATCGTAAAGACTTGCGTGAGGGTCGTTGGGATCATAGACTGGAAGAAAACAAACTCAGAGATGCACATAATGGGTTTTGAAGCATTCAACTCACCGACCATAACCCCACGAAGGCCATCACAGTACTGTGTAGAGAGGTGCGAATGATACCAATATGTACCTTAATCAAAGTGAGTTACGGCTTCGAAGCAAATAATGCACTGACCGGCTTGACCCGCGCTCGAAAACTCGTACAAGAAAGAGTCGTTTTGGGCAATCGGGCATTGTGTCACGAATGCAGCACCGTCAGCCCACGAGGTGTTTCGTTGGAAGCTGTGGAACATTTAGTGCTTACGAGCGATGAATCCAAGAAGCTAGATCCTTACAAGCCATGCCAATGAATAGAACTGCTGAGGAGCATCGTCTTATCCGTGAGGGAGTCGATTACATTGATTTGGAACGTGTCGCCGACGTTGGCCTTAATAATAGCACCGGGGATCGTGCCGCCAGCGGTGACAGCCCTGAAGAAAGGTGGAGTAGTCAATACGAATGAGGTGAATAGTGAACTCGGAAGCTTACGAGCGAGTAAAGCCATCAGGAGCGACTTGCGCATTGACCAGAGTGAGGTCCGTGACGGGCCCAATAGCAGCGAGTGCTGGAGCAGCAAGAGCAAGAGCAAGGAACGAGGAGGTTAACATTCCAGAGGCAAATAATAGAATGAACAAAACGATGAAGGTCTGCGCGCTTTTATGGCAGACAGAAGCTGGCAGACTCAGAGTGGATCTGAGATTGTACTGTGCCCCGATGTGGGTTGGATAACAACACGGCAGGGGAATCCGAACATCGGACAAGAGCGCTGCAGAATACGAGATGGGTGAGTTGATGCGGTTGCCTGGAAAGCGTTTGATCGCAATGCGTGTCCGACCATATGAGTGCGACAGCACGGTGCTTTCCCTAAAGTAGAAACCCCATATAAGCACCAGTAGCTTCGGATTAACGCTATCACACAAACCACCATGTTCAAATCTCTTCTTGCCCTTGCTGCCCTTGTTTCCCTCGTCGTTGTCTGTCCCCTTCCTATTCTCGCCTGTCGTTTCCACTGAGCAAGGATAGGCGGTTCCGAAAGGACAGGTCTTTACCGCGACTCGTGAATTCAGGACCCTCACCGATGTGTGAGTGTAGCTTCCTTGTCGCTTGGTTTCTGTCTGACTTCTGCCAAGCGAGCCGTTCTTCGTGACCAAGACCACTACTATCACTTGGACGTACGTGTATAGTCGTCCTTGCACCAGCCGCTGACCCTTTCCACAAGTGCGAGCCCCAGCACGACCATCGCTCGCCCAACCGGCACCGTAGTTGACGAAGTGTAGTGTACATCCGTGTTACATAGTTGCTTCGAGTGTCGAATCACCACGTTCGTTTGAGTGCGCCTTCATCCGTTTCTTGAGGACTTGACCGACCATGAGAAAACAGGAAGAGAAAGTTTGATCGGCGAAGTCACGATTGATTGATTATGTCATGCAGGTCGGTGCACAATTGAGCAAAGAGAAGAAAAAATTAGTTCGGCAACTTACTGTGTATCGGTGCGGATATCCAGAGTCATTTGCATTATCATTCGCTACACTGGCAATCCAATAACAAGCGACCATATTCCAAAGTGCCCCCTCAAGCTTCAAGCAATTCACGGCAATGAAGTTGCGGAACTCGTTCCCCTTGGAGAATACCAAATGTCCGTCGCTTCCACATCTGAAACCGGTAGCAAGCCGATAAATTGAACATCCAAGTGCATTACTGTAGTATTTTTTGGGAAAATCTCCTGCTCAGGTTGATCATGATCGACGGCCCGGGCCGCCGGAAGTATACCGATCAAGTGAGAAGCATCCTCGGAACCGGAACCGAATGTTCACGATTGGCACTTGACACTTGTGCATCGCAGTCGGATAATCGGAGTGATATGCGAGATTTCCCTCACTTGCTGCAAGTAGTTTGTTCAACGTATGGTAGTACTACTAATAGTACTTACTTTATTGATTCAATGCGTCCAAGTTCAGTATCACTGAATAAGGATTATGTTCTGTTCAAGGGAAACTGATTCTGTCTCGAGATGACTGCCTTTCCGCAGCGTCAGGCTGCATCGTATCATTCCTAGAATAAGGTTTACTTCTACATATGGCGGCTTGATGCGCCGCTGCGCAAAAAGGACTCGGACGCGGAACACAAAGAAAATCTGCCGATGATTGTAGTGATGCTGCAGAACGTTAATTCCGGGAGCTCACAGTTTCTCCGCTGATTGACGGCCGCTTGACGCGCTGGGGCCATGACGTCTCACCGTTTGGGTAGGTCCAGCGTCCGTTTTTCCGCCACTGTGATTGGAACATCTACGCCTAGAGCCTCAAGTGACGACTGGCACTAATGGCAAGTACAACAGCCGTCCTATGACCTACGACAATGGTTTCAGACTCGGATGGTAGAGATGAGGTTCTCCGCTTGATTTATTGCTCGCAACCGTTCGAGTTTGAGATGTCCGCTACGTCCAGTTGAAGTATGAAGATTGATTGAATTGGGCTCCGCGCTCTGGCCGCGGAAGGCCGTATTGAACTGTTTTACTGCCAGTGTATAGTCACATGCGATTACAAGGGAGGAAACCGAGCAAGCCTCTCAGCAGGAGCTCGGCCCGGGACGGCTCCGCTCGAAGAGCAGAAGATTGGGTGAGGATTTGCCATAACTGATCAGCCAGCGATGGCCGATCTGCAGTATTGTGCTCAGCGTGCCGTCAACAACCACGAAGAAGATCAGCCAAGTGGACTCCGCAATCTGCACTGGAAGCTCGTTCAAGTTTCGCCGATGACCGCGAGCAGAGAAACAAACAACTGGTCATTCCGTTCAAGTTGGCGAAAAGTCTAGAGCCAATCACCGTCAAACCCCACCAATCAGCGATGACCGCCGAGAGGCTTCAGCCTGAGTCTGGTTCGCCATTTCTTCCCCTTCCATCCATCAAGTCCACGGCAATAGTTTTGAGTTCATCCGAACAACGAACTATGTAGCTCTTCGCAATTTTACCGTCTGCGGCATCGCATCATTACCTCGACAGCCTGAGTTCCGTCGGTGAGAAACTTACGCGTGTGCGGGCCAGGCACAGGCCGCAACATGGATCTGGCGCACGGTGACGTTGGGTTATCGAGGTCGGGGCAGCGGCCATACCGGTAGAGCGGGCGAAGAATTCGTGCCAAAAGAGTAATGAGCGCAGCGATTCCGTTCTGTCGACTGGGAGAGAAAAGAAAATATTCAGGGCCATGACTTCCGCATAAGAGAACGCTTACGATGGCCAGGTCAGTGAAGGTGATCTGGTTAAGTGCAAGGCACTCCGGCGGGCGCTGCGGCGCAGTTATAGGGCCCAACGGAGGGAACTGCGTCTGACACAATTCGGTCAATAATCAGAATCGTTCACAAGGAGAAAACTTACTGGTGTTTCGAAAACAAGGTTGAGATGCGACAAATTCAAGTACAGTCCTAACAGTTCCGTACCCAACTCGTTGACCGCGTGAGCAGGGAGATCAGGCGCAACGAGATGGTGTCCATATTTCGACCGTCAGTCGTGTCTGGCGTCAAGATATCGAGGGAAAGAAAGATTTCAGCCACGGTAATGTTCGGGCCCGGGGAGAGCCTGATTTCCCATACCACCTTCAACACTCAGCTTCTCAATGAAGCGACCCAATTCCGGACTCCCACGAAGGACGTTAGAGAGTGCTTGCGTTTGAGTTTTGGCTCCAAAAACAACCACATTGAAAAGTCAAGGTGTGGCAACGCGCAACCAAGGATTCTGAAAATCGTTGAAGGTTGCGAAGTCGGGGTCCGGTTGGAAAGTTGGTTGGAGAAAGAATCGTCCTGACTGAGACTCCTGAACTCGGGGCGTGGGACTAAGAATCTCGGAGATGATATCGTCAGGGAGGGAGGGGGTCCTCATTAGCTGCTGGCTGGAGGGCAACGTGTCCTACAACGGTCATTGAACGCAAAGGAACTTGAAGGAAAAGGGGACAGCTGTGACAGTGTCACACCTGTGACGCCCATATTTTCTCTCGTTGTTGTCAACCATCGCCAGCTCTTCCGCCCTCCTTTATGAGCTCTTGCAAAATTATACCCACTTCCTCAGAAACGGGCTGATCTTCATCTCATATACAACTTTCGCAGTGTTCCTACTACTGTACTATCTTATTATACAAGAGAGAACCCGTGAGAGTATGTGTGACAGCTCTGATGAGCCAATGGGAAGGCCCAGTTAGGATTTCCTAATTTGGGACACAACTTTTGCTGGCAACGACACGCCCGTGCGTAGCACGGGCTACTCCTCGTTTCATTCAATTCTGCGGGCCTGTGACCTGTGACACATGTGGCAGAAATGTGCAATTCAGCCAAATGTTTTTAGCTTTTCACTGTCATTCAGCCCCATTTCGTATCTAATTATGCCCTATAACTTCATTATAGTAATAACCTGCTCCTCGGAATACACAGTTACTTGTCAGTATCGTTGTAAGGGCAACCCCGGAGGCCTGAGATCAAGGTCCTAGCAGGGGAGGATCCAAAGAGTGAATAGAAGTAAGCAAATACAAGTGAGGCTGACCTAGCAGGGGAGGATCCAAAGAGAAGAAACTCTAAGGGTCCGCCTGCTAGGTAGCGGAACTATATACTGCGCTCTTGACGCGCCAAGGTTGATCGTTGCTCCGTGCAGTATGCCTGCGCCATGTCGCAGGCCAGGTCCCAGGGGGATCGCCAGGCGGGGGCGGCGATGCGCCTGACGGAGGCGGTGATGCGATCACCGGAGTCGGAACCGGAGTCGGACCGGAATCGGGATCGTCTCCGAGGGGCCGAAAGGGAGGTTCCCCTGACATCACCCCCCTTTGAATGCGGCGTCCCGACGCATAGACCGGAACGGAATCGAGTCGAAGGTTGCGGAGGCGATGTGCCGTGGTTTGCCAGGGTACTTACGGTAGAACTCCGCGATTTTGTCCGGGGCGAAGACGCGGTCGAAGCGGACCCACTGGTCGTGCGACGCGTCGTAGCCTTTCCATCTGACGGTAATTCAGCCGTTTATACCTCACCCTTGCGTCCAAGATCTCCTCTACTTCCCACTCCGGGACTCCGTCCTCGAGGTCCGGAGGGGGCTGGTCGTAGCCGGGTCGTCCGTCGAAGGGGTCGTCTTGGGCGAGCTCAAGCTTGACGACGGGGAAGACCGGGTGGAGCTTCGAGTAGCGGGAGGGAGGTCGAGCTTGTAGGCACCTTTGCTGATCTCCGCGACTATCTTGAACGGACCGAGGCGGCGGTGGGAGAACTTCTCCGAGGGGCGAGTCGTCCTGATGTCGGAGGCATCCAGCCAAACACGGTCGCCAACCTTGAACTCCGGGAGCGGAGTGCGTCTCCGGTCGTAGTAGCGCTTATACTCTTCCTTGGCCTTAGTGAGCGCGGCCTTGGCTTCGGCAACCCCAGTGGCAATTCGGTCGCGGAACTCGTTCACGGACTCCATAGCGGAACGGGCTCCGGGTTCAAAGCCCATGCGGGAAGCCGTCCCGTGTCCGTCATGAAGGGGACTTGCTGCGTGGATGAGTGGACGTGGTTGTTGTAAGCGAACTCCGCGGCCGGAATCAGCTCATCCCAGTCGTCCTGCTGATAGTTGGTGAAGATCCGCAGGTACTGCTCCAACTCCTGG